TCTGCACATGGTACATACTCTAAATTGACCACATAATCAAATATTTTTTAAATCCTCAGAAAATTGAAAAAAAGTGAAATTATACCAGCCACACTTAGACAGCAGGATAGTAAAAATAGAAATCGATGCTAAAAAATTCAATCATATAATTACATGGAAATTAAACAGACTGCTCCAGAATGACTTAGGGTAAATAATAAAATTAAAGCAGAAATCAAGAAATTCTATGCAACTAATAAGACCAAAGATACTACATATGAGAATCTTTGGGACACACCTAAGTCAATGTTATTATTAAAGTTTATATTATTACATACCTATATCAGATAGTTCAAAAGATCTCAAATTAACAAACTAATCTCCCAATTAGAGAAACTAAAGAAGCATGAGCAAACCAACCCCAAGTATATCAGAAAGCAAAATATAATCAAAGTCTGAGCTGAACTGAATGAAATTGAGACATATTTTGTGGCCTATCACATGGGCTAGTACGGTTTCGCTCTGTGTCTCCATCCAAATCTCATCTTGAATTGTATTCCCATAATTCCCATGTGTTGTGGGAGGGACACGGTGGGAGATAATGGAATCATGGGAATGGTTTCTTCCATACTGTTCTCATGGTAGTGAATAAGTATCATGAGATCTGATGATTTTATAAGGAGAAACATACTTACTTGGTTCTCATTCTCTCCCTTGCCTCTACCATGTAAGAAGCGACTTTTGCCTTCCACCATGATTGTGAGGCCTCCCTAAACGTGTGAAAGTGTAAGTCCATTAATTCTCCTTCTTTGGTAAATTGCCCAGTCTTGGGTATGTCTTTATCACCAGCATGAAAATGGACTAATGCATGGTCTATCTTAGAGAATCTGCCTTGTGCTGATGAGAAGAATGTAAACTCTACATTTATTGGGTAAAATATTCTGTAAATACTTTTAGGTCCATTTGTTCTATAGTTCAGTTTAAGTCTAGTGTTTCTTTGTTCACTTTCTGTGTTGATGCTCTGTCTAGTGCTGTCAGTGAAGTGTTGAAGACTCTCACTATGATTGTGTTACTATCTCTTTTCCTTTGTCTACTAGTAATTGTTTTATGAATCTGGGAGCTTCAGAGTTAGATGGAGGTATATTTAAGAATGTAATATCTTCTTGTTGGATGTATCCTTTTATCATTATATTAATATAATGACCTTCTTTTTCTCTTTTTCACTGCTTTTGCTTTACAGTCTGTTTTATCTGATACAAGAATTGCTACTCCTGCTTATGTTGTTTTTATTATTTGGAAAAACTATTACGTGTTAGATTAATTAAGAATTTTTATAAATTGGCCAGGCATGGTGGTTCATGCCTATAACCCCAGCACTTTGGGAGGCCAATACAGCCAAGTGTCTTGAGCCCAGGAGTTCAAGACCAGCCTAGGCAACATAGAAATATCCTGTTTCTACTGAAAAATACAAAGATCAGCTAGGCATGGTGGCACACGCCTGTAGTCCTAAATACTGGAGGGTGGAGGGGCTTGGTGAAAGGATCACCTGAACCTGGGAGGTTAAGGTTGCAGTGAGCCATGATCACACCACTACATTCCAGCCTGGGTGACAGAGTGAAATCTTGTAAAAATACAAACTAACTGACAGACAAAAAAATAAGAAATTTAAAAAATTAATTTATCTTAATTTATTCCTCCTCTAGTGTTCTTCATTTCATTACATATATCAAACTTTCCAACATATATCATTTTCTTTTTTTCTGAAGACATTTCAATGTTTCTTGCAATACAGGTCTACTGGTATGGTAACAAATTACCTCAATTTTTGTTTGTCTAAGAAAGTTTTTATTTCTCATTCACTTTTTAAGGGAAAATTTCCCAGAGACAGAATTCTATGTTTGTGAGGTTTTTAATTTTTTTTTTACTTTTAATTATTATGGGCACATAGTAGGGGTATACATTTATGGTGTTTTCTTTTTCAGTACTCTAAATATTTCATTCTACTTTCTTCCTGTTTGCCTGGTTTATAAAAAGAAGTCCAGTGCAATTATTATCTTTGTTTATGTGTGGAAATAAAAATGTCTTCTGTCTTTTTTCAAGATTTTCTTTTTGTCATTAGTTTTCTGCCATTGGAATATAATATGGATATTTGCAGAGTTTGGTATTTATCCTCCTTAGTGTTTGCTGAATGATATATGGTTTGGTGTTTCTCATTAATTTTGGAAAACTCTCAGTCATTGTTATTTCAAATATGTCTTGTGTTCTTTTATTTTTCTCTTCCCATTGTCACACAGTTCTTAGATATTCCATTCTGTTACGTTATTTCACTCATCATTTCCCTTTTTTCAGCTTGGGAAGTATATGTTGAAATATCAAGCTAACTGATTCTTTCCTTGGCTGTGTCTATTCTATAGATGATTTCATGTAAGATATTCTTCATTTTGTTAGAGTTCTTTTTTTTTCTATTCCTAGCATTTTTTTATTTTTTTTCTTAGGTTTTCTTAGGTTTTCTACCTCTCTGATTAAATATCTCATATGTTCTGTATGATGTGCAATTTTTCCATTCTCTTACTATGTTAATTAGTTCTCAGTCTGATAATTCTAAAATATCAGCTATGACTGAATTTGGTTCTGTTTCTTGCTCTGTCTCTTCAGATTGTGTTTCTGGACTTTGTTTATGTTTGCTTTTTTTCTTTTTAAGCCAGAAATGATGTATTAGGTAAAGGAGACTGAAGTAGATAGGCCTTTATTGATATATTTTATGATGATCTGGCTGTGAGTTACGCTATCATAACTGCTTGCACTACCTGTGGCATTAGTGTCTAAATTTTCCTCTAGTCTTATTTCTGCCCTCCTTATTTTTGCTTCTCCCTAGAGAACCTGTCATAAATAGGGCCTGAAAATTGCATTTCTTTAAGTTGTAATCCTCCTTCGTTATACAGGAGTACTACTGTTTTTGATAGTTAAATGTGAGGAAAGAAACTTTCTATCTCTTGTAATAAGGTCTTAGTCCCTTAATGAGCCTGTACCCTTGAGCTGTGACTTTCACAGGTGGTTTTTAGCTCCAATAAGTCTTTAGGTGAGACAGGAAGCTAAGGCTGCTGGAATTGTTCTGTTCCTTTCTCCTCACATAAAAGTTAGAGGGGGTTGGATGTTAGTATATCCCTTTCCCCACATCAGTTAGGCTTTAGCAAAACCAAATAGTTTAAGCTCTAGTAAAATAGTTTTCTTTGAGGATGGGCCTTTTTTAAGGAGAACAGAATACTGTGAACATATTTCAAAGTTGTTACTTTATTTTTACCCTTGCTAGAAACATGAGGGGAATTTTCTCAGATATTCACCCTGTGAATCTGGTAGGGCTCCTAGAAATAAAACTCATGAAAATGTATGGGCCCCATAAGACAGGGCCCACATGAGTTTTTGTCTTTTGAGCTAGGTCTAGTGAGTCCCCTGCAATTACTCAATTACCCTTTAAATGCTTCGACCAGTGTCTAGCTGTGGCTTCTTCTCCTTATGAGCTATGATTCTCTATCTCTGTCTTTCTCTCTAGTTTCCAGCATGGTGGGGCTCTGTGACCTCAAACCCTGATGGCATTAATAAGAGTTAGTGATTTTCAGATTGTTTATCTTTATTCTAGTTGCAAGGATGGGAGTAATGACTTCCAAGTCATTTATATGTCAGACTAAAGTCTTCAAAATTACCCTCTTTATAACCTGAATCTACCTTAATCAGTGGTTTTTTTCTAAATTTTATAACATAATATTTATAACTTTTCTGATATTCACTTTATTTGCTTTTGCTTAATGTTTCATTTTGTATGAGACATTTTATGCTTGAGATTATAACCACTTTAAAGTAACACACCGTGACTTATTTTTGTATGCTTAATAACTGATCAATTCCACTAAGATTTGGAACATGATATTAAAATGTCTCAGAATTCCTCTGTTGCCTTAATCCTAACATATAATGGGAGAATAAAAGTCTCAGGGAAGAGAGTAATAAAACCCTCTCCTGGATTATCCATTTATAAGAAAAATAAAATATATACAAAAGTAATATACGCAAGACTTCGTTTGCTACAGAAAGACTTGTGAGTCTTTGAAGTCTTTAAAACATCATCTAAACCTGAAATTTGTATGCACTAGCTATAGTGTGATTGCTAAGTAATAATACTACTTGTGATATATACAGTACTTACTATATGCAATTTACTGTTAACATCTTTTACTTTGTTATTCTGAGATCCTACAGTGACCTTAAGTGGGTGTATTTGTATTCATAATCTATAGTTGTAGATACTGAGACTAGGAAAGGTTAGGTGACTTCTCCAATGTCTAACAATGATGTAGAATTCAAAACATGTGGCCAGGCATGGTGGCTCATACCTGTAATCTCAGCACTTTGGGAAGGCAGGCGGATCACCTGAGGTCAGGAGTTCAAGCTCAACCTGGCCAACATGGTGAAATTCCATCTCTACTAAAAATACAAAAAAAAAAAAAAAAATTAGCTGGACGTGGTGGCAACTGCCTGTAATCCTAGCTACTTCTGAGGCTGAGGCAGGAGAATTGCTTGAACCCAGGAGGCAGAGGTTGCCATGAGCCAAGACCATGCCATTGCACTTCAGCCTGGACAACAAGAGCAAAACTCAGTCTCAAAAAAAAAAAAAAAGAAAAGAAAAGAAAAAAGAATTCAAAACAAGTGGAATGCAAACACAAGTTTGTGCGACTTTTGCCAATATTTTTAACTGCTATGCTACATAGCCTCCCATGTACCTCTACTCTATGTACCTCTACCTTCCACGTACCACCAATGTACCTTTACATGTACTTAAGATTTAACCATTTAATATCAGAAGGGGAGGTAAAGAGGGAAAGTGAGTCCCTCTGTACCTCCCCTTCTGATATTAAATTGTTAAACCTTATTGAAGATGGACTAAGCCCTGCCGGCCGAAGCTTCCTAGTAGGTCTTGAATAGTATTTTATTCAACACACCCAGTTGTGGGAGGACAGTATACATACTATTGGTTAGCAGGTGGTTCTGCTGCAGTGGATTGAGGGCTGGAGCACCCCCAACACCTGTCTGGGCAGCTAGGGCTGGATGAGCAAGTCCATGTTGGGGTCCAGGTGCAGCAAATGGAGACTGCATCTTATCCTTATCCCAGGAGGATTCACTTCCACCTGAAAAATATTCATATAAACAGATTTCAACTTGACAACGTTCCATGAGAAGGGTTTTTTAAATTCCCTTTCAGGGCTGTAATCATGAATACTACCTCTTAGAAAATTATTATTGAACACAGTTAACTCATTTTTATGACAGTTTCAAAAACTTTCAATAGTCTAGAGATGTAAGCTGCCTCTCGGAAGGCTAAATCATTCTTAATAATAGTATAGGCACTCTTTACTTGTTGGTAGTCTCAACAAATCCGGAATCATAATGAATAGCTTTTAGAAGCACTTACGTGTTGAGGGCCATTAACTGACCATCACTGCCTTGTATTCTAAACCTTCAATATACATATACTATATTTAAAGAATAGTACTGATCACTGAAAAAGAACACACTCATTTGTAAAAGCATGATAACATGCAAAAATATATGGTAAGAACAGAATGGTCGTTTATTTTCTTCTCAGATCACTCAGAGAAACAAATCTATTCGTACACAGTAAGGTTTTGTGTAAAATAAGCTGGAAAAAAATAGAAAACCATGGCTTCCAACTTGAAATTATACTTACCTTCATCCTTCATGCTAGAGAGTGGGATAAAGTGTGTATAAATGCAGAATACTATATTATTATGATCTACAGTGGCATAGCTATTTCATCTGGTGTCTAGCGTACTGTGGGGAATAGAAGTTTTGCTTAAAACCATATGGAAAAACAAACACAGAATAATTTCCAAGACATTCTTCCAGGAGGATACTTTAAATAGGGGAGTAAAGGGTGGGATTCCAATCACTGCAGAAGTAGATAGTCTGGCTTTAGAAAATGAAACGGTTGTGTATGCAGCTCCATCTATTTGCTTGATGTGCTTCAGTCATTCAGGGGTCAGTGATTCTGCCTCCATTCCCATGCTGGGACTGCGACATTAGCATCTCTACCCGGCTGACACCGTCCCACTTACTGCCTAAAACTCTGAACCTGTTTTGTGTGGGGTTTAGGGTTGAGACTCTTGGGCACTCTGTAAAAATAGGTATATTTACTGTTTTTTTTAAAGGTAGAAAAATCAACATATTCATATTCACAACATTTAATATTGTGATTATTTTCAATATTCACAATACTATTTGTGAATTTTTTTTTTTTTTTTTTTTTTTTTTTAGATAGAGTCTTGCTCTGTTGCCCAGGCTGGAGTACAGTGGCGTGATCTCGTCCCACCCACAGCAATCTCTGCCTCCCTGATTCAAGCAATTCTCCTGCCTCGGCCCCCCATATAGCTGAGACTATAGGTACACTTCAACATGGCTGGCTAATTTTTTGTATTTTTAGCAGAGACAGGGTTTCACCATGTTAGCAAACATGTTTATACTTTTATTTCAAAAACCACATTTGCAAAAGCAGTTTTGAGAGTTGTAAACTTTTCAGGGAAATGTCTTCAGGCCCAATTGGTATTCCTTTTCAAGATTTAAAATCTATTCAAGCAAATTGCCTGCCAGAATCTCTGGAAGGATCGTTTAACCCTCCTACCCACACATCAGCTCTTACCCCAGTCCCGAAGAGGAAGACTCTTACTCCAGTCCTCCCTTTCAGTACTCTTTCAAGCTCTTTTGTGGCCAAAGTGAATCTCTAATCCAAAAGTGAGAGTCTTGACTAGGCTCCAACTAGATGAGGTAAGGAAACACCAGATTCTAGTGCAGTATATGTAAAGACTGAAAGATATCTGGCCCTGCCTATATGAACAAACATTTTATAATCAAATGAGGGAAGAAATAAGCAGTTACTAGTTGGGGTCCTACTATAAGCCATTCAGATAAGATGCATGAAAGCTTAGTAGGTAGGAAATATGGTTGAATTTGATAGACTGGTTTAATGGACCAGAAATCATTCCCTTGGTCATGCTGAGGTCTGCTATGTTCATTGAGAACATGCAGTACTTCTATGATTACCTCTTGTTCTCTCTTTTCATCCAGATGTTGATTGTTGTAAAGCATTTGCTTAAGAGCAGGGAGGTAATTTATGGTTTGGTGCATTGACATATTTTAGTGTTAACGAATTTGAAATTTCAATTAAAATCAATAAGTCATTGTTATGTTGTAATGAAGAGAGATGGTGGGGGGAAGGGAATATCTTAATAAACTATGAAAGTAACCACTGCAAAACTGAGAATTCGTTATACTAACATTAGGCCAATAAACACGATTAATATGTTAAAAATGCAAAAATTTAAAAGATCAATTGCTGAGAAAAAAATGGAAGCACTCCATCATTTTAGCAGTATGTTCAAGATATGAATTCCCTCACCATAACAGAACTGTAATCTATAAAATGAGCAAAATATTGACAAAGGAAGTTACATTTAGAAGACATTAAATTACACCGTATGATAATAATATAGTATTGCACTATCACAGCAGCAACAGCAACACAGCAATATTAGAGCTGAGATTATATCAATATTTATTTTATAAATTGAAAACTGTTTAGTCTACATTCAATATTAAATGATACATTAGGTATTTTTCTCATGGTTTGTGTATCACATTATCCAAATAAACTTGAATAGAAATGTTTTTAAAATCTCCGCAGAGGATTTCAATGTGGTTTTGTGTATGCGCTAATGAAAGCTTTGGATACACTTTTTCCAACAGCTCCCACCTTTGTTAACTACTGTGTTAATAATAGAAAAGGCAGCTTCCGTCTCTTCCCACCTCCACCATATGTGGACGTAATTATTATCCTGTACTGTAAAGGAAACTGTATATGAATTGAGTGGCTGAGGAGTGTGGAACATTCTTGATATTTGGATTAGGAGGTATTAATGCTCTGAACACATTTTTGTCTTTTGACCTAAATCTCTTATCGTTTTTAAATGTAAAAGTTAATCATTATTCAATATGGAATGTTCAGTGGCCCTGATATTTGCATTTTCTTATGACCCTTTGTCAAGATACAAATTGCCATTGCCCTCAAAGCTAATACCCATTGCCCTCAAAACTAACCAACTATTTTGACTAATCTAAGCTACAGTAGGCATTTTATTAAGCACTATGTTGAAAGCTTGGGTATCCACCTTCCTTGTCCTCTCTATCTGTCTGTCTACCTATAAATGCAGTAGTTAGCTTAGGCTGAGATAACAAATACCACAGACAGAATAGCTTAAACAACCAAAATTTAGTTTCTCACAGTTCTGGGGGTCAGAAGTTCAAGATCATGGTTTTGGCAGATTTAGTTTCTCCTGAGGCCTCTCTCTATGGTTTGCAGATGACTGTGTTTTCTCTGTGTCCTCACAAGCTCTTTCCTCTGTGCAAGTTCATCCTTGGTATCTCTTTTCTGCCCAATTTTCCTCTTCTTATAAGCAGATTAGATTAGAATCCACTCTAGGCCTTATTTACTAAATTTTTATTTTTTTTCATTCTGCGGGTACAGAATAGGTATATATATTTGTGGAGTGCCTGATATGTTTTAATACAGGCATGTAATGTGAAATTACATCATGGAAAATGAGGTATTCATCCCCTCAAGCATTTATCCTTTGAGTTGCAAACAATCCAGTTATATTAACATACACATGTTCTCACTCATAGGTGGGTGTTGAACAATGAGAACACTTGGGCACAGAGAGGGGAGCATCACACACTGGGGTCTGTCGGGAGGAAACAGGGGAGGGACAGCGGGGGGTGGGGAGTTGGGGAGAGATAGCACGGGGAGAAATGCCAGATATAGGTGATGGCAAGGAAGGCAGCAAATCACACTGCCATATGTGTACCTATGCAACAATCTTGCATGTTCTTCACATGTACTCCAAAACCTAAAATGCAATTAAAAAATAAATAAAAAGAAATAAAGTGAAAAAATAATAAAATAAAATAAAATATACTTAATCACTTCCTTGAAGGCCTTATCTCCAAATACAGTCACATTTCAAAGTAACTCAGGGTTAGGGCTTCAATATCTAAATTTTAGGGGTACCTAATTCAGCCCCTAACACTAAAGTATGTGCATTTGTCAGAACCAGACCATACTAGCTTTGTGAGGGAATTCCTCCAGTAAAGAGGAGAGAAACTGGACAGCATTTTCAACTGGGCATAATTCTGAGGCTGGCAGGATAAGCAGTGGGTTTGGGAAAATAAAGTAATCTCTTAAGTCTTCATGAAATTTTGTATTAAGTGTAAACATAACCCAACAGAGTCCTAAGTTTGTAAAGATAATGTAGAAAGCACCAAATCCTCATGAACTGAATAATTTATTTGAGCTTTTCTATATCAACTACTTATCACTATTTTAGCACAATATTTAGTAAAACTAAATAGATGGCAATAAGCAGTGTAAACACAATAAACAGTATTACAAGCAACTATTGCTACATTAATACTAATTTAAACCCAACTTTACCAATAAGCTAGAGAGAACTACATTTTTATAAACCCTTACTTAGTAGAAATACATATTCTGTTAGAATCAGTGTAAGAACAATAAAGTGATTTGCCATGGGGAAACATTAATTTAACAAAGCGTCTGACAAACTTCTATTGCTTTAATCAGAATCTCTTTAGTTTGCAATTTAGACCTTTAAAAAAAACCTATTGTAATATTTTAGGGTTCCCAGAAGATTGTTTTTGTTGCTTTTTCTTTGAAAGATAAGTGGGTAGATGATAGATACCTATGAATCATGGGGACCTTACAATAGAAACATGGAATTTAAGGCATAGAAAGGACCTTTTTATCCATTTAGTTAAAAATAATTTGAAAAAAGAGCAGGAGCATAATATGAGTGGGACTCAAAGCAGTGTTTTAATGTTTTAATTTGCTAAAATTCTGTCTAACTAGCACTCTTGCAATTCCCATTCTAATAACAGAATGCTTACTATGGTCAGGTTTGTGGAAAGCAATAGAAAAGATAATTATGATGTGTTCCAACCAAATTAGCATAAGCCTACAACCCAAAACACCAAAACACCAAAATGTTTCAAGTGGATATAAAGGAATCCCAGCAGTAAGGCACTAAATAAAAATTTC